AGAGCAAACGTCTCCGAAAACATACCGCCCCTTTCACCTGATTGACAAGTGGTTTGTCCCCATGACCCTTCTCCAGCCCCCCAGGTATCAAGTTTCACTCCAACACTGCACCTTCGACAAGAAAACGAGTTTCACGTGGTTCACAATGGGTAGATGGAAGTTTTTGGATGGATGGCTTGACAATACCGTATATAAATACTGGTTGATCAAGGATTCCCAATTCACACACAGAGCTAGATGCAAGCTTCGTTTGACATCGCCAACATGGGGGAGAAGGCGATTCTGAGCCACATGAAAGGAAAAAAACACCTACGTCTCGTTACTGCATCGCTTGCACCCAGAGTCCCAACCTTTTCGCCTCAGCCCAGACATTGAACTTACCTGAGTTTTTATTTGCATGCTATTATTGTACTTGGCTACAGTCGCCTATTAAGAATAATTAAATATGATGTGAAATATGATACACTGATATACAGTACAGGCCAAAAGTTTGGACACACCTTCTCATTCAATGCGTTTTCTTTAGTTCAGTTCAGTTCGGTGCACATTTTTAACGTTTCCACTATGAAAAGCTGTGGATGGTACCAATATACAGTAACTGTCCCTCCATTTTTGGTCACCCCTCTGTTGGGGTACCTAGCCCTAAGATCCAGTACTAAAAGGTGGACCTGTTAACTGGTTTTGAGGCTTATGTGACCACTCTTCATACCATTGCAAGTTTTACATACATTAGTAAATTATAACAATAATATGAAAGGATGTTTTGCTGCCTGTAGCAGCAGCTGTAGTCTGCGACAAAAATTAAAGACCAGACTATGTAACTGCATACAGTACAGGCCAAAAGTTTGGACACACCTTCTCATTCAATGCGTTTTCTTTATTTTCATGACTATTTACATTGTAGATTCTCACTGAAGGCATCAAAACTATAAATGAACACATGTGGAGTTATGTACTTAACAAAAAAAGGTGAAATAACTGAAAACATGTTTTATATTCTAGTTTCTTCAAAATAGCCACCCTTTGCTCTGATTACTGCTTTGCACACTCTTGGCATTCTCTCGATGAGCTTCAAGAGGTAGTCACCTGAAATGGTTTCCACTTCACAGGTGTGCCTTATCAGGGTTAATTAGTGGAATTTCTTGCTTTATCAATGGGATTGGGACCATCAGTTGTGTTGTGCAGAAGTCAGGTTAATACACAGCCGACAGCCCTATTGGACAACTGTTAAAATTCATATTATGGCAAGAACCAATCAGCTAACTAAAGAAAAACGAGTGGCCATCATTACTTTAAGAAATGAAGGTCAGTCAGTCTGGAAAATTGCAAAAACTTTAAACGTGTCCCCAAGTGGAGTCGCAAAAACCGTCAAGCGCTACAACGAAACTGGCACACATGAGGACCGACCCAGGAAAGGAAGACCAAGAGTCACCTCTGCTTCTGAGGATAAGTTCATCCGAGTCACCAGCCTCAGAAATCGCAAGTTAACAGCAGCTCAGATCAGAGACCAGATGAATGCCACACAGAGTTCTAGCAGCAGACCCATCTCTAGGACAACTGTTAAGAGGAGACTGCGCGAATCAGGCCTTCATGGTCAAATAGCTGCTAGGAAACCACTGCTAAGGAGAGGCAACAAGCAGAAGAGATTTGTTTGGACCAAGAAACACAAGGAATGGACATTAGACCAGTGGAAATCTGTGCTTTGGTCTGATGAGTCCAAATTTGAGATCTTTGGTTCCAACCGCCGTGTCTTTGTGAGACGCAGAAAAGGTGAACGGATGGATTCCACATGCCTGGTTCCCACTGTGAAGCATGGAGGAGGAGGTGTGGTGGTGTGGGGGTGTTTTGCTGGTGACACTGTTGGGGATTTATTCAAAATTGAAGGCACACTGAACCAGCATGGCTACCACAGCATCCTGCAGCAACATGCCATCCCATCCGGTTTGCGTTTAGTTGGACGATCATTTATTTTTCAACAGGACAATGACCCCAAACACACCTCCAGGCTGTGCAAGGGCTATTTGACCAAGAAGGAGAGTGATGGAGTGCTGCGGCAGATGACCTGGCCTCCACAGTCACCGGACCTGAACCCAGTCGAGATGGTTTGGGGTGAGCTGGACCACAGAGTGAAGGCAAAGGGGCCAACAAGTGCTAAACACCTCTGGGAACTCCTTCAAGACTGTTGGAAAACCATTTCAGGTGACTACCTCTTGAAGCTCATCGAGAGAATGCCAAGAGTGTGCAAAGCAGTAATCAGAGCAAAGGGTGGCTATTTTGAAGAAACTAGAATATAAAACATGTTTTCAGTTATTTCACCTTTTTTTGTTAAGTACATAACTCCACATGTGTTCATTAATAGTTTTGATGCCTTCAGTGAGAATCTACAATGTAAATAGTCATGAAAATAAAGAAAACGCATTGAATGAGAAGATGTGTCCAAACTTTTGGCCTGTAATGTATTTGCTCAGATGTCGCATATTCTCTGGGGAAAAAAAAAAAAAAAAAACGCAGAGAAGTCTGGAAATTAGGGTATGGAAAAGTATGGAATTTTGAAATTCCAAATGTGTAGGAACCCTGTATTACTGTTTATACATATCCAATCAGATTGTCTTTTTTTGGGTAAAATTATGATTCCAGTGTTAACAAGTCAATACATTTTATAATTTTATAACTGATATGAGAAATTAAGCCTGGGCTAACCTTTTACCTTTGTTTCAGTTTTCTCCACTTACTTTATTGACATAACATTTAAATGAATATGTACTGCCACAGCATACGGAAGAAAAAGAAGCATGCTGCAGCCCCTAAAAAGCTTTGTCAAACTTTGCTCAGCACAGATGATCAGAGTTTCAAGGTCAGCTGCTGGTGGAGAGAGTAGAAGCCCTAAAAGAAGCTCTTGCACAATCTGCAAAGGCAGATTGCATAGTGTTGGGTGTAATGATTAATATTTGTATATTCTGTATGTTTTTTATATTTATGATTACTTTTAGCAGTGGCGGTCCTAGCACATTTGGTGTCCTAGGTGAGCCTCCCCCTGGCGCACCCCACCATTTGCTGCAGCTCAGCAGGACCAAAATGCAAATCAACAACCCAGCTAACAATAAAACATCTGATAAAAAATATGTGCTAATTTGCTTTCAGTAACATGTTGTACATGTGTTATAATAATCATATAAATCAATAATCAGTAAAAAAAAATTACAAATGAACTTAGAATAATATATTATATTGTAAAATAATAATAAAAGTACAAATACATTTTCTAATTGAACTAGGGCTGCACCGATTTTGAAATTCTGGGCGGTTACTGATACCAACAATGACCCAAAGCTTGGTGTTTCTTTTGTTTTTTGTTATTTATTCTTTCTTCTTTCTTTGTGACAGGAAACACAGAAATCTACATTATGAAAAAATAAATGAACAGTTCTAAAGTCATTCATTAAACTACCTTTGAATGAGCACAAAATTAATAATACACATTTATGAAACTACTTTTAACATAACCTTCTTTCACATTTTTAAAAAAAATAAGCAAAAAGCCTTTTTACTAGGCTATATAAGATACATCATAATTCCCTCTCTGATATCTATTATGCTGTGAGAATATTAACAAATTTTCAGCTGGATTTATTTAAGTTTCTCACCAAAAGCTACATTTGACGAAATTACATTGAACACATCATGAGAACTTTATAATTTATTTTCACTCAATACTCTTTTTTACTGAATAAGAGCTTGAACATTTTACAATGTAAATCAACGCAACCTCCGTGAGCTGTTCGTTGCGGCCCCCAGCTGCTGAGAGGTAATGAAAACTAGCTTTCCTCCTGCCGAAATCAATATGGATTTGTTGTTGTTTTCTTATTTTTTCATGTTCTTTCTCTCCACAAACACTTCTCTCAGTAGTGTAGTGGTAGTTGAGTGGGCACCTAAGAGCTTTTGTCGTTTTGACATGATAACGATACGTGTTTCGGGGTTCATGTGACACCATTTGATTACTTTAACCACCTGTTACTAGTTCCACCCAGGGGACAGGTGTGCATTACATACAGAGGCTAAAAGTCACAGAGACATCACACACGGAAGACACAAGAAAGCATTGGTATTTGACGACTTGGAATGAGAGGGCATTGGTTTTAAACTTGAATTAGTGTTTGTGTCTACCTGCCCAAAGTCTACAAATGGAAATTAGCCCATAGCCAAATCTGATGCAATGCATCTCCTCTCCTCGTGTGAGACTAATGCTGTATATGGCTTTATAAATGGTCCCCCATCTGTAGGGAGGTGAGCTGAAACAAAGGACACCGACAACAGTAATTACCTACATTATGTAAAGGTACATTAGGTACATTACCACTTTTCAATTTCTATTGCAGTATTTCCACAACATCATGTGCAATATTACTTTTCAATGTCACGATCACTTGTCAGTGTATTGCAATATCATTTTCTCAAAATCGTGCAATACTGCTTATCATTGTTACATACAATATAACGTTGATTATCAGGGGCAATATGCATTTTTCCACCATTTTAGTTCATTTTTAGTAACAATTGTACTTATCTTATTTCTATTGTTACTCCATGAGGCACTGATTTTTGCTTGTTACTCCTTAACACTTATTATCTTGTATATTTTTAATATTTTGACTGATACTTAATACTTTCTTAAATACTGGGCCCAGTCTGGGTCCCAGACCCAGGGAATCCACTGCAACGTTAATTTGCGTTATTGTAATTGTGAAGCATTCTCTCGCACAAGAATGACCTTCAGGATAAATCAAGTTCTATGGAATCGAGTTGAATTCCTGACAAAGAAAAGTTGGAAAGAAATAGATAAATAAAAAGCAAATGATCTAAAAAATTGCAACTTATTATGACAGCGTATTATGTTTTTGTTTTGTTTCTTTTCCAAATGTGTTTTAAAATAACTCTTCATCTTTCTCTCTGTCTCCCCATCTCTCTCTCTCTCTCTGTCTGTCTTTCTCTGTCTCTCTCAGAGCCGAGCTCGCACTACGTGATTTCCCTGAAGGCGTTCAATAATGCAGGAGAGGGAGTCCCTCTGTATGAGAGCGCTGTCACTCGATCTCTGACAGGTACAATCACACACTGATAATCACAGTAATCTCATGTTTACAGCACACTGGTGATGTGTTCACATGCAATAGGATATGTATGTAGCTGATATAACAACATGCTATGTATCAGTGTAGAACATGATGGTTATGTCAGCTTTATTATATCGAACTGAAAGACAAGAGTGTGTTGTGACTGCTGTGAGTGTGATGGGGATGTGACCACAGTACTTTCATTAACAGTGACAGTAATGTAACATAGTATTAATATCAGCAGTATCAATACAATCACATTGTACTTGTAGTAGCAGTATTAGTAATAGGCATAGCAGTAGCATTAATAGTAGTAGAAGAACAGTAGCAGCAGCAAAAACAGTCCTAGCATTAGCACCATCAGAAGCAGTTTTAAAAATCATAGAAGCAGCAATAGTAGCAGTTAAAGTGAAAGGAGTATTAGAAGCAGTGTGCCCACTAGCAGTAGTAACAGTAGTAGTTGTACTTAGCATATGGTGGGCAAAGTAGCAGTAGCGGTATCGGCTGTGTTACCCAGGGCTACCAGCTCTCACACATCGACTGTTAGACCTAACAGCTTACATGCAAATTAATGTTTGGAATATACAGCCAACAAATCTGAAACTTGTGTGGAAGAAATGAAACAGCAGGATAAAAAACATGACCGATATTATTTAATCCTGCAACAAGCTCAGCTGCTGGTGAAAGCTGAAAAGAAAATTTCTCAAACATACAGGAAGAAAGTGTGAGCTGATTACCATTACTATGCGATGTTTTATTCAACATGTTATAAATGATGCATCATGTTTCAGATGTCCATCCTGTCTGTCCTCAGGATCAGCAGCTGTTAGTACTATCTCAGCACAGAGCATTTCTTTTTATCTCTTTACCTCCACAAGTTGAGGGTAAGTTGCTGCTCTGTGCAGCAAGAGGACGCCGCAAGCTCTACTACTGTGAACCTAGTGGCGTGGCGAGATTGCAGTCAAGTGTGCCCTGTTCAGTGCATCGAGTGTGGTGCACTTGGACACAGGGTGGGATCAGAACACTCCTAAGGGAATTAAACTGGAGAGGCAGTGTACTAACTTTGAAGTAAGTGTTTGCATGCCTTTGGTGGCTGCCTCGTGTGTCCTGCGTCCAATTGGAGTGTTGGTTGTACACACCCTCAGAGATGTATGCTACACATCCACAAGATGCAATACGCAATGCACACATGAATGGTAGGGGCATCAGTGTATGTAAATATGGTGCTCAACAGAACACACATAGAGTTACAGCTTCAGGAGATAGCCTGGTGCAGTTACAGTTAGCAGTTAGCAGTAGCTATAGCATAATGTGCAATGTGCGATTTAATGCCAGTGACACTACAACAGTAGCAATAGCAGCAGTCCTTGCAGTAACTGCAGAGGCTCTAGCTGCTATAATAGTAGACTAGTGGCAACCCTTTTAAGCCCTGTTTCCTCTAAGCAGTACGGTTCAGTTCAGTTCGGTGCACATTTTTAACGTTTCCACTATGAAAAGCTGTGGATGGTACCAATATACAGTAACTGTCCCTCCATTTTTGGTCACCCCTCTGTTGGGGTACCTAGCCCTAAGATCCAGTACTAAAAGGTGGACCTGTTAACTGGTTTTGAGGCTTATGTGACCACTCTTCATACCATTGCAAGTTTTACATACATTAGTAAATTATAACAATAATATGAAAGGATGTTTTGCTGCCTGTAGCAGCAGCTGTAGTCTGCGACAAAAATTAAAGACCAGATTATGTAACTGCATACAGTACAGGCCAAAAGTTTGGACACACCTTCTCATTCAATGCGTTTTCTTTATTTTCATGACTATTTACATTGTAGATTCTCACTGAAGGCATCAAAACTATGAATGAACACATGTGGAGTTATGTACTTAACAAAAAAAGGTGAAATAACTGAAAACATGTTTTATATTCTAGTTTCTTCAAAATAGCCACCCTTTGCTCTGATTACTGCTTTGCACACTCTTGGCATTCTCTCAATGAGCTTCAAGAGGTAGTCACCTGAAATGGTTTCCACTTCACAGGTGTGCCTTATCAGGGTTAATTAGTGGAATTTCTTGCTTTATCAATGGGGTTGGGACCATCAGCTGTGTTGTGCAGAAGTCAGGTTAATACACAGCCGACAGCCGTATTGGACAACTGTTAAAATTCATATTATGGCAAGAACCAATCAGCTAACTAAAGAAAAACGAGTGGCCATCATTACTTTAAGAAATGAAGGTCAGTCAGTCTGGAAAATTGCAAAAACTTTAAATGTGTCCCCAAGTGGAGTCGCAAAAACCATCAAGCGCTACAACGAAACTGGCACACATGAGGACCGACCCAGGAAAGGAAGACCAAGAGTCACCTCTGCTTCTGAGGATAAGTTCATCCGAGTCACCAGCCTCAGAAATCGCAAGTTAACAGCAGCTCAGATCAGAGACCAGATGAATGCCACACAGAGTTCTAGCTGCAGACCCATCTCTAGAACAACTGAACAGAACAACAAGCAGAAGAGATTTGTTTGGGCCAAGAAACACAAGGAATGGACATTAGACCAGTGGAAATCTGTGCTTTGGTCTGATGAGTCCAAATTTGAGATCTTTGGTTCCAACCGCCATGTCTTTGTGAGACGCAGAAAAGGTGAACGGATGGATTCCACATGCCTGGTTCCCACTGTGAAGCATGGAGGAGGAGGTGTGATGGTGTGGGGGTGTTTTGCTGGTGACACTGTTGGGGATTTATTCAAAATTGAAGGCACACTGAACCAGCATGGCTACCACAGCATCCTGCAGCGACATGCCATCCCATCCGGTTTGCGTTTAGTTGGACGATCATTTATTTTTCAACAGGACAATGACCCCACACCTCCAGGCTGTGTAAGGGCTATTTGACCAATAAGGAGAGTGATGGAGTGCTGCGGCAGATGACCTGGCCTTCACAGTCACCGGACCTGAACCCAATCGAGATGGTTTGGGGTGAGCTGGACCGCAGAGTGAAGGCAAAGGGGCCAACAAGTGCTAAACACCTCTGGGAACTCCTTCAAGACTGTTGGAAAACCATTTCAGGTGACTACCTCTTGAAGCTCATCGAGAGAATGCCAAGAGTGTGCAAAGCAGTAATCAGAGCAAAGGGTGGCTATTTTGAAGAAACTAGAATATAAAACATGTTTTCGGTTATTTCACCTTTTTTTGTTAAGTACATAACTCCACATGTGTTCATTGATAGTTTTGATGCCTTCAGTGAGAATCTACAATATAAATAGTCATGAAAATAAAGAAAACGCATTGAATGAGAAGGTGTGTCCAAACTTTTGGCCTGTACTGTATATTCTAATCCTCGCTTTTAGGAAAAGAAAGTCACGGGTGATGAGGAAATACAATAAGTGCTGGATGGAGCAGTGAATGACAACAGCCCTGCCCACATTTAAGAGTACTGTTTGTGGTTTGCAAACAGACCTAGGGTCTACAGTAGGTACCATGTCTGAAGGGTTACTTTTGGTTCCAAGGGTACCATACTGAAAGTGTTTGGTGGAAACAGGGCTTTAGACCACATCTTCTGCCATATTGTGCACCTATTTAACATATATGCCAAAAAAGGTATTTCTTTGTATTCTTATGTCAAAATCGAATCATGTTTTCTTCTTGTTAAACAAATAATCATGTGTTCTTACACAAACTAGTGCCAACCAGTTTCAACCAGTAATATCATGACATCCACCCTTCACTCAGTCTGCAACTTTTAGATGCACAGAGCTATGATTAAATTAGCTAGATAGCAACAGCATGCCCACATAGGGCATACTGTGATTACAGGCTACGGGCTAGCAGTAGTAACAGTAGTAGTTGTACTTAGCATATGGTGGGCAAAGTAGCAGTAGCTGTATCGGCTGTGTTCTTACACAAACTAGTGCCAACGAGTTTCAACCAATAATATCATGACATCCACCCTTCACTCAGTCTGCAACTTTTAGATGCACAGAGCTATGATTAAATTAGCTAGCTAGCAACAGCATGCCCACATTGGGCATACTGTGATTACAGGCTGCGGGCTAGAATTTATTCACTCAAAGAAAGTGTCATCTGTGGCAGCTCCAGATTATGCCCAAGGCATTTTACAGTGGACTGCTTCAGCAACTACTGTTACATGAGCATACGATGGATTTCGTCTCTCTCTCCCAGATACTACTGTCTCATCTGCATTACATCGTTGGGGCCTCACAGTTATGACTCCCACTTTGAAGTGATCAAATAAGATTCCTCCTAACTTATATCCCACCTGCCTATCCTGTTTCACTTGGAAATTCATCACAATTCTGGAGCTAGAAAATCTCAAAATACCATTTCATCTTGACTTTAAGAAACAGTTGCAGGAACAGCAGCAGTAACAGCAGTATTAGCAGTCGTGGTAGCTGGTTTCCTAAATATAGATGTCTTGGTTTTGGGGACTCAATCTATACAATCTCTTCTAGCTGTGTTTGAGTTGATATTGATGAGGACTTTAGAAAGTTTGTACATGTGGTTGTGATTCAAAAAGATTTTGAGGAAAAGTGACAGTCTGGCAGTAAGGCCTCAGTCTGAATCCAACAGCACTGACTCCTGAAATATTCATCCTGAGGAAAATGTTCACACATCAGTCACAGCCGTCTGTGTGTGTGTGTAACACGTATGAACTGTAGGTGTGTATGTATCTGTTTATATATAGTACGCGTGATGGCTTACACTCATTACTGTATGTGTTTGTGTGTCTGTGAGTGAGAGACTCATTAGCTTCTCCTGCAGAAAATGGGCTGTAGAAGTGAGATAAATGAAACGCATCCAACTCTCAGCCAAGTTTCATCTTATGAATTAAACAGCCGGCCCTCCTCTGCTCACCCAGCAGCCTGTGGCTGACATAAATCCTTTATTACTCTCATATAAATGCCACATTTCTGAGGTTTGATGTGATGATAGTCACCGGAAAAACCGGCAGCACAGACCACTTCACTCACCTCAATTTC